AAAAAAAAAAAAAAAAAAAAAAAAAAAAAAGTGACAAATTTATGACATTTATCTCCATAGCCACTACTGTATTGATATTATATTTGTTTTTAATATGACATTAATATTGCTATGGTCATTGTCTCCAAAGCTATTGTCAGTTTGGGTTTTCAATATGTTGCCCGGGCTTCAGATTATCCAGGTCTTCCTGCCTCAGCCTCCTGAGTGCTGTACCTGGGACAAGAGGTGTATTCCAACCTCAGTCTGGCTCCCAATGTAGTAATAACGGCTTTTCTGAATGGGTTCCAGGACAGTCCCCATACCAAACTCTGAAGATATTCGAGTCCCTCATATAAAATGATGTGCATGCATATTGCCTACATACATCCCCCATGGACACTTTAAATCATTTTAGATTACTTATAAATACCTAATATAACAGATACTATGTAAATCAATTTCAGGGAACATTGACAAGAAAGAAGTGAAAGGATGTTTAGTAAAGATTTTTTTTCAGTATAGCTTCAGTCTGCAGTTGGTTGAATTTGAATGTAAAACCTGTGGATACGGAGGGCCAGTTGTGTATGGGTGTCCTAATAGCTAAAGTGGATGGGGTAAATGTTACAGTCTCACAGCTAGTGCAGTCAGGATTCTATAAATCTCTTACTTTTTTCATTACTACTTTGTTTTCTGACCAATACAAGAACATTTAAAGTCTGAGCTACGTCTGTAGTCTCTCTTGTTTAGAATAACGCCCACCCCTTTGAATGAGTGAAAATCGTGTTGATGGTATTTGCACATGATATGACGTAATCAAAGTGACATTTTACGTCTGTGATCTCCCAGTAACTTATAGTTGTGTCTCATCATGAGAGAACCTATAGTTCTATCTGTTCATGAGACAGACATTGGACAAATTCTCATATACAATGCCTGACCTGTGTACCTCAAAACTATTAAACTAAAGCTTATTATTAAACATTTGTAATTTCATAATGTGGAAGACTGAGGCAGGAGAATCACTGTGAGTTCTAGGTCATCCTGAAATACATAGCAAGAACCCTTCACCCCCCCAGAAAAGATGGAAATCATCAGAATGCTCCCTGTGCCTCTACCACATGAAGTTACAAGATGGCTAACTGTGAAAAGTGAAGAGGGCCCTCACCAGATACTGAATCTGCCAGTGTCAGGATTTTTCTAGCCTCCAAAACCGTGAGATACAAATTTCTGCTATTTAAACTCCACTTAGAGCCAAATGTGATGGTAGCTACCTGTAATCCCAGCACTCGGGAGGCTGAGGTAGGAAGATACTGAGATTGAGGTCATCCTGGTCTGCATATTGAGTTCAAGGCCAGCCTGAACCATATAATGAGATCTTATCTCAAAACATGAAAAAAATCAATCAATCAATCAATCAATAAAATATGAAAAGCCTCCCAGAGCTGGGTATGGAGGCATATGTCTATAATTCCAACACTCTGGGAGGGTGAAGCAAGAGGACTGTAAATTCAAGCCCAACCTGAGCAATTTAGAGACTTACTGAGATCCTGTCTCAAAATTTAAAAAAGGGCTAGGGATGTAGCCCTGTATGAAGATCCTGGATTCAAAAAAAAAGTCTCTCAATACTCTACTAAATGGACTAAGACATTGACATGTCAGTGTTTTTCCTTATTCCTTTTCAGTAGTTGTTTATGTGACACAGTCTTTATGATTCGACCAAGTGAATATTCAGTGTTATAAAACCTGGACAGACCTGACTGGCAAGCTGGCTGTGAAGATTAAAGAGCTATTGTTATCACCAGGAACAAGGAACCTGGGACCAATTGTTTTCTGTTTCCTTGTTCTGTAACTTATTTACTAAATTTCTCAAAATACCCAACTTTCCCTTTGTCAATTTACATTTGTGAGTGAAGTTGAAATGCCTCATATGTGTGTGGTACTGGGGAAGAAACTCAGGGCCTTCACACTAAGCTACATCTCCAGCCCACCCCCACCCCCATCTTTTTTTTTTTTTTTTAG